GCGGTACGATTTTCAGCGAACAGAAGCTTCCTTCTGCGTTGGCAGAAATCGAGGCCCTGAAGAAAGAAGTTCACTTATCTCAAAGTGAGGTGGCCTCGTTGACGAAGCGGGTGGAGACGTTTGATGCCCACCAAAAAATAACTGCTGAGGCCCTTGAAAAGGCCAATAAAGAAAAAGGCGAACTAGCGGGAGAGGTGAAAGAGTTGACTTCCCAATTTGCCAAATTAAAGGATGAAATTGAGGTTGTTCGAAATGAGGCCGAATGCTTCAGTAATGAGGCGAAGGATCGCTTTTTGGCTAACTTCCATTTAACCGAGAAATATCAGCAGTTTGGCCTATATTGGAGACGATACGCCTATAATGAGGTCATCGAGTGGATCGGACGCATATTCAACACGATACCTCCGAACTTAGGAATGAGTTTCTTAAAGTAGGGCCAAAAGAATCCGAACCTTCAACTCCGGCAGAGGAGCCTCAAGTCATTGAACTTGATGAGGACGCAACTGAAGAAGTGGCCCCTGATGCCATTGTTCCTTTTATGGGTCCTCAGCTCCCACCCCAGTAGCCTGATGTTTTTTCTTTTCTTTCTTTTTTATCAAGCGTAATGGCCTCGGCCCTTTGCAAATGTAATTCTTCTTTTAATGAATTTCGATTTTTCTTCGTTTTCGACTTCTACTACCTTTTTACTTTTGTTGTGTTATTCTGAAATGTCAATTTCAACTTGATTATGTGCAATCTTAATAAATTTGACCTGAATAATTTACCAACCTGATAACGTTCGAACACTTAGCTTTGTAGGAATAAGTCGAGGCTCCTAGCCTCAATAAAACTTAAATGAGTCGAGGCTCTTAGCTTTATAGAAACGACTTAAAGGCTCTTAACCTTTGTAAAAAATTAGATTCTAAGCTCTTAGCCCTTGTAAAATAATTCGAGGCTCTTAGCCTTCATAAAATTTAAATAAGTCGAGGCTCTTAGCATTTGAGATAAAATTTAAATAAGTCGAGGCTTTTAGCTTTTGAGATAAAATTTAAATAAGTCGAGGCTTTTAGCCTCTATAAAACTTAAATAAGTCGAAGCTCTTAGCCCAACGATAAGAAATTGGACTATAGGCTCCTAGCCCTTATAGGACGAAACGAGGCTCTTAGCATTTGTTGAGATAATTGATTCATAACTTTAGAGTAACAAGCACTGCTTTTTCATTGAATTTAAAAACGATTCATACGAGACGTCTTACATTATTGGTAGTACCTACATAAGTGTTCCACGTTCCAAGGATGAGGTTGTACCTTTCCATCCATATCTTTGATTCTATATGTTCCTGGTCTAATCTCCTCATATATATGGTAAGGGCCTTCCCAGTTTGGACCAAGGGTCCTTGACCCATGTTCCTTCGAAGGTGGGAACACCCTTCGAAGAACCAACTCATTCAACCTGAATGTCTTCTTCTTTACTTTTGAATTATAGTATCTGGTCATCTTTCGTTAATACATGGCCATCTTGACCTGAGAATCATCAATTCTTTCTTCAAGGAGGACGAGTCCGAAGCTTATCGCCTCCTCATTGGTCGTTTCGTTGTAATGCATTCGTCTTGGTGTAGGAAGACCTATTTCAACTGGACTCATAGCCTCTGCCCCGTATGTCATAGAGAAAGGGGCTTCTCCTGTTGNTGGAAGACCTATTTCAACTGGACTCATAGCCTCTGCCCCGTATGTCATAGAGAAAGGGGCTTCTCCTGTTGCAGTTCGACTTGTGGTTCTGATTGCCCAAAACACTTATAGCAATTCCTCTACCCATGCCCCCTTTGAAGCATTCCTTTTTAGGGTGTACTCGATTGTTTTATTCACAACTTCAACTTGCCCATTAGCCTGGGGATGATGTGGGGAGAGAAATGCTTCTCGATGCCCAGCTCTTCGCACATTTCCCTGACTTTCTTGTTATCGAACTACTTACCATTATTTGTTACGATCGAATGGAAAATTCCGAACCTGCAGATGATATTTTTCCAAAGTAACTTGGAAGTGTTTGCCTTGATTATTTTTGCGAAACGTTCGGCCTCTACCCACTTTGTGAAGTAATCAATTGCAACGATCGCAAAGATGACACTTCCTTTTCCTTTGGGTAGGGGTCCGATCAGGTCGACCCCCCACTTAGGAAACGGCTAAGAGCTAGACACTACTTTTAACTCCTGTAAGGGATGTCTCTGGATTGTGGCAATTCGTTGACATTTTATTGCATTTTTTGACGAACTGCTGCGCATACTTTTTCAAGGTGGGCAGTAGTATCCTTGTCTGAACGTTTTTTGTGCTAAAGACCAACCTCCAACGTGGTTGCTACAAATACCTTCGTAGATTTCCTTAAGCACGTAGTCCGCTTGTTCTCATCCCACGCATCTTAGTAGGGGCATTGAGAAGCCATGTTTGTGCAGGACATCGTCTTGTAAGACGAAGTGAGCTGCTCTTCTTCTGAGTTTCTAAGCCGCTTCTTTCCCTAAGGGTAGTGTGGTTTGGTCCTTTAGGTAGGATACGATGGGCTTCATCCCGGAGGGGGTATCTTCCATCCACATAACTGTTTCGCCGACCTCTGTGGAGGGTTTTGTAAGGTGCTCAATTGGGACCACATTGAGTAGCTCAGAGTCTTTGCTACTTACCAATTTTGCCAATGCATCAGCATAAGCGTTGTAGGACCTCGGTATTTGCATCAATTCGAACCTTTCAAATGAAGGGACGAAGCTCATTACCAGCTTTAGGTAAGCTGCCATAGATTTATCTTTGGCAGAGAAATTCCCATGTACTTGACTAACAACGAGCTGGGAGTCACTGCTGATTATGAGCCTCTTTACTTGCATTTCTTTTGCCAATCGAAGGCCTCTACCAGAGCTTCATATTTGGCTGCGTTATTGGTTGCCTTAAAGCCGAACCTTACAGCACAATTGAGCTTATGTCCCTCCAGGCTAATCAATACAATCCCAGCTCCGGAAACTGTATCGCTAGACGACCCATCGACTGAGAGCCTCCAAATCTGAGGCTCTGAAAACTCCATTTCTACTTCGATGTTGGGGACAGGGGTAAACTCAGCCACGAAGTCAGCTAAAGCTTGCCCTTTTATGGCTAACCTAAGTTTGTAGAGGATGTCGAACTCGCTGAGCTCACTTAAGTAACCTCCCTGAGGCATCTGGCTTCTGAAGCACTTCTTTGAGGGGGATAGTTGGTTAGTACATGGATGTTGTGTGCCTAAAAATAGGGCCTCAGCTTCCTTGAAGCAATTATCAGGGAAAGAGCCAGTTTTTCCATGTCAGGATATCGAGTTTCAGCAGCTAGAAATGCTTTGCTCACATAGTATACTGGCAACTGAAGGTTGTTTTCTTCCCTTATCAGAACTGAGCTTACTGCCTCGGAGGTTCCTACCAGCTATAAGTGCAATACTTCGTGGTCTGTAGGTACCAAGGAAAGAGTCCGTTTTCCCATGTCAGGATATCAAGTTTCAGCAGCTAGAAGTGCTTTGCTCACATAGTATACTGGTAACTGATGGTTGTTTTCTTCCCTTATCTGAACTGAGCTTACTGCCTCGGAGGTTACTGCCAGATAGAAGTGCAATACTTCGTGGTCTGTTGGTTTTGACAGGAGTGGTGCCTGCCCCAGATGCTTTTTAAATTCTTGTAGGGCCACCACTCACTCTTCTATCCATTGGAACTTGTTCCCCCTTAAGGACTTTAAAGAAGAGGAGGCATTTGTCTGTTGCTCTCCCAGTGAGGCTCTGAACTTCCTTCGATTTCTGGGGTGACCTCATCTCAATCAAAGAGGTCTGTCGATTTCTGGCTTTTCATCAGCATGTCGTCATTGGATTTTGGGGACTCTAAAAAGTTCTTATCAGGGTTCTCCTAACCATTTAAGGGAATAAATCCGCCCTGCCCTTTTTCTTTTACGTAATATAGATGACCTTTGTAGGCAAATTATTGAAATTAGAGAATACTACTATGCTCAATTTTATAATTTTCAAGATCATGCTCAAACATGATAAGTTCTTTACTATGGTTTTTCTATGGGTACTAAGACCTGCTCATGACCAAAAGCAAGATTGTAATGCTTTAGCAAATGAAACGAAACATGATAAAAAGTTGTAAATAAAACCTTATCCATGATAAGTTCTTTGCTATGTGTTTGCTATGGGTACTGAAACCTGCAAATGACCAGAGGCAAGATTTTATGACTATTACTTATAATTCTGGTCTTTTGGAAAACAGGTTTTGCATTGTGAATCAACAATGAAATGTAGATGACAGTTCTAACATTGTCGTGTTGTGCTCCTTGGTGATTACTGTATTTTCAAGAAATATTTAGAGCTCCCCCACAAAATAAACCTTTAACTGAATAAATGACCTCAAGCAACAACTTCCCATAAAATATGTTAAAACTAGCATCCTCCACAGCCCACATCAGTTAAAAGATCCGCAAAATTACATAAGCAAGTGAAATTTAGAATTTTCAAGAAATTTTATTCAGCAGTTAAGAAGCAGGCTACTTACTCAAAGCTTGAGCAGCGGTCATTCTTTTTCTGTAATCCTTGTTTAAAAGCCTTTTTACAAAGTCCTTGGCTTGTGGTGAGATGGAAGGCCATGGCATGTCCTCAAATTTAGGGTCAGCTCTTAATACTGAACGAAATATTCCAGATTCTGTCCTTGCCCAGAAAGGTCTGTTTCCACATAGCAAAATATAGCAGATAACGCCAATGCTCCAAATAGGTGAAAAACTAGCAGCATAAATCAAATGCCAATATTAGAAAATTTGGTTCCTTAGTTGTATATTTTTGTTTCTTTGTTTATTTTCAATATTGAGTCATTATATTTTGAAGAAAAATCTATTCATTTTTAAAACTGGTCTCGTTTTATGGCAGAACTCTTCATATGAAACGTTTCGTATCAAACAAATATAATAACCAAATGATTGAAAAGTATGGCATCAACTGTAAGCATGGTATTATACCTTTGCTTTTTGTTTATTGACCTAATTCTTCATTTTTTTATTCAAACTGTCCTTGATTTGAAGATACTACTAGTTAGTGCATAAGGACTTATTTCATGTTAGCAGTTTTACCATGTTATCTTCTTTATGACAAACGGGGAAAAATGATGAGTATGGATATGGATAGTGAAATTCAAACTATCGATGAAACTCCTCCAACCACAAATTTAGAAAAAAGTGCTACATCTCTTCCTCTACTTCCACAATCATGTTTAGGGAAAAGGAAAAATAGGAAATCTTCGGATGTATGGGAACACTTCACTATTATAGGTGATACAAAAGATGAAAATGCTAGGTGTACGTGAAACTATTGTGGGTGAGAATATGCTTGTGGGGCTAAGAAGCATGGGACTAGCACCTCTTTATTGTATAAAGTATCCAGGAAGGATATAAGACAAAAGGTAAAAAAGTCCAACTGAGGGTGGTGGAAACAATCTTATTGTTGTTGGCTTTAATAAAGAAGAATGTAGACTTGTATGTGCTAAGATGATAGTAATTGATGAGCTATCTTTTAGCTTTGTTGAAGGTCATGGGTTTAGACAATTTTGTCGTGTAGCATGTCCGAATTTTGATCCTCCTTCTCGTAGGACTGTTGTTAGAGATATTTATCGATTGTATTTGGATCAAAAATATAGGCTATATTTGATTGTGCAAGCATATTCAAACCGATATAGTTTAATTCAAACAGACTTCAAACCAGGAAAAAGGTGAACTTTATCCATTGATTATGCTTGGGATAGCTAGCAAATAAGTGGTACTCACCTAGCATTTTTCAGAAATGGGAGAAAAATGATAACTAAAACTCCATATTTTTCACCATATTTGCTGAAAATTTTATTTTCTAACTAGAAACTATAGTGGCAGTTGGCATTCGCACAATTCATAATTTTTTTCTTTTTAAGCTTTTGAAACATGAAATTTAGAAACATATGCTGCATATTCACCTGAACATGCATGCTCGGATTATGATGCAAATTTGAAACACATGTATATAAACACCTATGCAAAAGGAGCACGTTCTACTACTACTAGAAATTTTCTAGATAGCTTTTTTATTAAATCAAGTGTTTTATCTAGAAGTTCATGACATCTTTGACAATGAGAACTATCATCAACCCCCACAGCAAACACAAGCACTGGGGATTGTTACATTTGGTAATGAAAGATATTACTTGATAAATCTTCTCAAATCCTGTTTCATTTCCTTCAACGATGTATGTTTCAACAGGGGTACTTCCAGGAGGTATATCGGTGATGTAGGGGCTCCCAGAAAAGTTGTACCACTTATTAATGGCACTGTTTCTTCGAACTCCAAACCCCCCACCCTCCAAAAAAAAAATTCACTGTTTTTAACATTGCATTTCCATTTCCTTGCCAAAAGCATACATTAGAGATGAACTAACACCTTTCTTCTGTGTGGCCAGTCAACAATGAAGGAGACAAAATCTGACAGATGATAGATTAAGTGCAACTCTCAAATATAAGTGATCATTGGGAAGAATTTTGATGAGTAAATCGTGGCCATAGTATTGTTGGATAATTGTTTAAAAAACTTCACGAAACAGAATATCGGATTCAGTACCGGATATGTAGAATAGATACCATATCTTTAGTAAGTTTAAACACAATATTTAGAGAACTGCAAAATACTATTATGCAAAACGAATAACAAGAAGGAACAAAAAAGAACTTTTAACCTGATGCCCGTGTTACACACAGTTTCCTTAACATAGATTCGCCTCTTTATCGTACGTGCTTGAGATGTAATTTGAGCGTTTGCTTCCCAAGATACAACGGTGGAACGGTAGAATCTGAGCATAATAGATTTTACTCCGGCGAACTGAGTTAGAGCCCGAACAATATCACCATCAGACTCAAACAGAAATAAAAACAGAGACAACACTTAAACTGTATGCAGATGAATACTCGATGAATTCGTGTACTGAAAATTGAGAAAAATCGAGGTATATATAGACTTTGGATCTTGTAACTTACCCACTTACTTTATGGCAATTACAACAGGAGTTTTAGGAGTCCCAACTATTTCAGAAAATGAAAAGTCAGTCGAAAAATAAAATAAAATGTAACAAAACGTAGACTCTTCTAAGCGTCCAATTTTTGGTCAATCAGGTAGCGCCCGCACACAAGTTCAAGGTCCGATGCCTATTTCGGTCCGTAATTTGCACCCCCCTGCGCGCGCACGTGGAGAGAGCTTCTATGCTATACATGATTACACCATTCTAAAGTGCAATCCTTTATAAAGTGGTTTTAGTTTCCATCCACTTCCTATGTGGGATAAATTTAATTTTTAGTTTTCCCAACAATATAAACTCCTTTCACATGGCATATTTTGAGTTTCAATTTCTCATTCATCCGAACATCATTTTTTACAAGTTATGATTTCGATATACTCACCGAGAACACAAATCAACTTTCATCTTCCAAAATAGCCAAACAGGTCCCGCTCAAAATTCGTGCCAAAGTCACCTACTAACTCAATTTTTTCCAACAAGTATAAGTCAGATGAGTAATAAAACATTTTACTTGGATAGTTTGACTCAGTTTTAATTTTTTAACGACCTTACCTTGCCACTTGAAATTTTCGTTTGACAATTCAGCAACGAGGAGAATGGAATCTCACGGATGATGGATGGAATGCAAACAAAAAGTTCGATGATCATTATGAAGTACTTTAAAATTTAGTAAATAAGTTGTGATTATTAAAATAGTCAGGGCTTGCTTGGGAATTTTTTTTACTAATTTGACCAATTTTGAATGACACCATTTATGAAGAATTGAAAAAGTTGGTGCTTGGAATTTTTTAAAGCATTGATTTTGGATGGTTTAAAAATTAGCTATCGATTTTGAATATTTTAGAAGCCACCCAAAATCGGTGTATTGTAATTTTCACTGGTTCTCTCAGCCTATCAAATTAACGAATTTTTGTTACATTTTTCATATTTTCTTATAATTTTACCATTTATAAAGCCCATGTTCGACATCCTTAAAATTAAAAAAATATTGTTTTGAATAGTATCTTTTGGAGAATGTGTATTTAAATAGTAAGGAAAAAATTTTGAGTTTACGTGTATAATATTTTATTATGTAAATGTGATTTAAAATAAGTGTGAGAAATAAATTAAATTAAATTAAATTAAAGGATGTCAAATGGGGTAACATAATTATTTCCAATTAACATATATATATTTTTAAATGAACTTGTAAAATAAAATTATATTAAATAAAAAAATTATTCATAAGCAAAAAATTACAAATATAATTAAAAATTAATTACATGTAAAATATTACTTAAGATAAAAAACCAGTTTTATATAAAAAGTTATTTATAAAATAAAGTACTACTAATAAGACAAAAATTCATTTATAAAATATAAAAAGTTACTTATGAATAAAAATTCAATGAAAAATTATTTAAAAGTACAAAATTAATTTATAATTATAAAGTTTACTGGGTGTGTTTGAGCCATATTATTTTGGAAAAATGTATTTTGAAATAATAGATTGATGAAGAATGTATGGTTGAAAAATAAGGAAAAGTTATTAATGTGATGAAAAATATTATTTTATTGAAGATTTCGTGGTTGAAATGAGTAGAAAAATGAGAACGAAAATTTTAATAGAGCTCAAATAGTGGCTTTTTTATAAGTAAAAGATACTAACTTAAATTTTTTATTAAATATTTAACTTTACTTACATTAATATCACATAAGAGTGAAAAAAATTTATACAAAAAACTATGAATTGAAAATCTCACTAATAGACATATATATAATTTTATTCTTTTAAGAACTCTCAGAATCGGTAGATAATAAACTTCAAAGCGTAGGTTGAACTTTTTTAAAAACAACTATTAAAATCATTAAAAATCGATAATTTGAAAAACGCTTATAATCGGTTCTCACGAAACTCTCAAGCAAGCCCTTGACTCTAATACATATTTACATGTTTTTTGGGTGCAAGGCCACCACTTTCTTATTGGGCTTTATCTTGTCACTCTATAAATACTAGTCCAAATATGCTCGTTCATTTCCAATTAGGTTAAGAGAAATAGGGTTCTAAAGTTACTCACTCGTAACAATATTTGAAACATCACTTGCCACAGCCGTTCGCCGTCACGGGATTCCTTTTCGCACCATGGTGAGTTTACCCTTTTCTTTTGTAATTTCAAATCTGAATCAAAAGACTTTTGAATCAATTTGTTTCAAAAGGGGTTGATGCAAATGGGGAGAGTATTCGTTGCTCTGAAATACCTGCAGGTTTTCTGCAGGGTGCCCTGCAATTCCCAACCCTTTACAGAGAAATGGCTTCATAGTACGGGTTTCGTGCTTCGACTGGGTGTGTAGTTAAAGCCATTTTCGGACTGAATTTTGCTTTAACCACGCCCTTTCGGCTTTTCTTCACAAACCCGCCTCCAAACGCCATTACATTTCTTCATCTATGACCATTCTAATTAAAGAAAAATCAATTAATTTATTTGAACTAAATCTAATCTAAGAAACATGGATTTAAATTTTTTATTGGAATTTGGTTTTGTTTACAGTTGGATGCGACATTAGTGATTTATTGTTTTATGGAATCAAATGATTGAATACCAGATAGAGTCTCTCAAATTTATAGAGATCTATTACCCATGGCCATGGAACAAGATATTGAATGTTGGTGTTCGAGAAGGGAAATTCTACACAGTTCAACAATAAAAATTGTCATTTGGAACTAATTCTGCTAACTTATGGAAGTTCAGGACAAAAATGCAACCAAAAATTTGTTAGGGACAAGACGCAAAAGATTGGGGGGACTAAAATATGCAATTTATCTTACGCTATTGAAGCAAAAATATGAAATTGTGAATTAACCCTACTATTGAATTAGAATACGAATTCGCATTAAATATATTTTAAACCTCCATATGGAACAAAATGAGTTCGAATATAAATTTTTAGGTTGAAAGAACAAACTCTCCAATATGTAGTACCAAAAATTGACATAGGAAAAAAAAAAAAATTTGACATAGAACTCCGCATTTGTCATGTAAATGGTTTAAACTTACATATAGGAAAAAAATAGGTTCGAATAGGGCTGGGCCAATAAATCCAAAACTGCGGATCGAATCGGGTCGGGCCGATTTTGATTTAAAAATGAGTTGGGTTGAGTCGGTTCACGGTTTAAACCTTTTCAAACTGACCCAACCCGTTATCTATAACCATATTTCCAAACCGTGAAGTTCTCTCAACTACAAAACCTAGCCTCCCTCTGACGCTGATGAGAAATCAATGGCTCCTCTTGGACGTCAACTTAAGCGAGCTCGAGAAGAATACTACCGCTAAGAAAGGCAATAGCAATTCAAAGTACAAGTTGAAAAAGAACTCGTGTTCAGTATTCCGCCGATCTCTATCTGCTCTGTGATTGTTGTAAATAGCTGGCTGCCATTGGATTTTTAATTACAACTAACAGAAACTAATTACTGTGTTTTGATTAGTTAAATTTATTTATTTGCATTTTGGTTGGATAGTTTTACTTTGCTTAATTGCTTTTATTACTGTATTTCACTATCTGAAATTTGGAAATATATTTATGATTTGTGATGGATCATCCATGTGATTTGTTGAATTACGATTTGTGAGATTTTATTTGGAAAAATTAGATTATGTTTTCTAAACTCATAATGTTTATGTCTACTACTGCATATCAATCAATCTAATTCTTAGTTTCATCCAATCTCATCAAAATTGGAATGTAATGCCCAATACCATCTTGTCGTCAATTTGTTTGCATATCATCTTTATGATGTTATTTGGTAGTTGATGGTGAAATGAACCTGAATGTGTTGCTGTCTGAAACCTGAATGTGTTGCTGTCTGATCACGTTCTTAACATTGACGAGAGAATTTTTTATTCTGATTGAAGATGTCGTGGTTTCAAATTGGAGAAGTGTGTTTTATCAAAAGCAATTTACAGTCATTGTTACATCACGTGGAATTTTTTGCCAATTGTATAAACAGAAATGATTTTGGCGATGAATGGATAAATAAATGAATAATTCAGTAATCTTTTTATTTTTCGGTGAACAAATAGTAATCAAGTATAAAATTCAGTGGTCACTCATTTAATTAACTCAGAAGTAATGCATTATTAGATAAAGCGGCGTCATTTATGTGAACATGAACATTTTTCTCTCTTTATATATTTCTTATTTATTTGGGACCATACCCCGGTAATTTTAAAATTGAAATTAAAAAAGTGGCATTTACTCTTGTTGAAAGCTTTTTCGAGGCCATTTTTCAAGATTTTGCACACGATTTTTGATTTTGTAGAGAGGATTTTTAGGTAATTCGAATTATTATTTTTCTTTAATTTGTCCATGTTTGATAAGTGCACGCAATAGTATTATGGTAGGAAAATAAACTTACTTTTTGTTAATTGTAGAGTCCAATCTCATGAGTACTACGTAACAAAAACCTCATCGATCCAATCCCGTTAGTATTACATAGTGAGAACCTCATTGATGCACCCAAAATTACAAAATGGGCATATGATTATGTATTTAATTTTGGTTTTGGTTTAGGTTTATACATTGAAATACGTTGTGAAGGGGTTGAACGTCAGCTGTTTGTTCAAATATCTAAACGAATAATTACTCTTTAAATCAATTGCTCTATACCATCTTTAGTTCAGTAGAGAATTGTGTTTGCGTTTGTGTGTGCGTTTGCATGAGCAAGCAAGTTAGTGTATTAGAACAAGATGGGTCAGTAATATTTCTACTTGTCATTGCAGAAGGATCGGTATATAAGATGGAGTCGGAAAAAACTTTACAGGCTTTGAAAGACATTGTGCCTGCAGCACTAAACAATATAAACGCCAAATTCATACTATTAGATAAAGACAGGGTAACATTAGAAGGGCAACACAAGACATGTTTGGCACTAGTGGCGGACGAGACTGCAGCAGTGCACTTCCAGTTGTGGGGTGATGAGTGTGATGCATGTGAACCAGGTGACATTATTCTTTTGGCCAATGGCATATTTTCATACAACCGGAACAATCTTGTTTTGAGGGCAGGCAAACGAGGGAAGGTGGAGAAGGTGGGTGAATTCACTATGACTTTTGTGGAGACCCCTAATATGAGTGAGATACGTTGGGTGCCTGATTCGATTAATTCTAAGAAGTATGTGCAGGAAGTTGTGATTTCTCCCCACTCACGTATATTCCCACCAATGCATTGAATATTTATTCTGTTAATTTAGTTGTGTTTTCTAATGTCACTGTTGGTAGAAATGTCAACTTCTATCTTTTCGTTAAGATCAAATAATGAATTATAGTAAAAAATGTCACAACGTTGTTCTTCTGGTTAAGATCAAAAAATTATGTGGCAAGAAAACAAAAATGGGCAAATCTTTATACGTTTGGTTCATGTTTATAAATTATTTATAATTTCAAAGTGAAACGAGGTGATTCCCATAAAATTTTCACACTTCAATCCATGAAAGTTTGGCTCATGTTCATAAGTTCAAACAAAATGAGGCGATGATGCCCATAAAATTTTCACAATTGAATGAATGGAAATGGTATGAAATAAAACCATAACATTTCTTGGAGAATTGTGAAGTAATGCAGCAGCCCTACTTTAATACCAGTGTGTCAAATGAACACCTCATTTGTCAAATTGTTCCATTAGTTCGAGTTGCAGCATAGAAAATGACTCGATAAACGAGTGTGATGCAGAGTCAATTGACCAACTTTGTCATCATTATTTTTCTGCAAGTGCAAAGTAAAAATAGTACATCAAATTTAGAAAAACAAAGGAAAAGGTTCAATGGGGGCTATTTCATGGGAATAACACTTTTGTTGTGTACATTAAGAGTTACACTTCTCTCACAATGGTGTGTGGGGCCTGTCATTTTTTAAATTGCGGGCTCCCCATCATTGTGAGAGGAGTGTAATGCATGATGTACATCCAAGTGTGTACATCAAGCATTGCTCATTTCATGGTCAAAAGTCCCGTTTTGTAATTTTCAGTTTAGGATGCCATGTAGCAATATGTAACAGAATGCTTGAAATATGAAATTAAATTGAAGTTTAGTAATCTAATTGATTTAATTTGAAGCTTTAGGGATTCAATTGAAATTCTTAAAAAAGTTCAATGATGACAGTTGAAATTTTACCCATTATTTTAAGGGGGTTGTTTGGTGCAAGCCTTTCCTCCTACGCTTGACAATATACAAACGATCCTTAACAATTTCCCGTAGATAATTTCACATCACATACAAATAAAAACCTTAGTTGCTTCTTCTCTGCCCGTAACTGCTATACGCACAAGAATCAAAACCCCTTTAATTACCCTAGACAACGTGGTCTGGCGACAACATGTTCGATAAAATGCTTGAAAGAATCCTGCTTTTGTTTCTTTCAGGAATTTTAATCTAATCGCTCATTGCACTACTGTTTTTCTTCCAAAATGTGGAGGAGACTCCATGAAGGATGGAATGAAATTCTGAAAATCCAGAAGTTCAGAAGAATGGTATCATATGCTGGGTTTTACTGTTTTGTCACACTTGTCAGCTACGCCTACACCAACAACACGTAAATCTTTTACTTTGAATACACCTTACTCCATTTCTGATATTAGTTTATGTTATCAGCATTCTGCTGATATTTTTATCAGGGGTTTGAATCTTTTTTTGTTATACGGTAGTAGCTGGGTATGTAATGGTTTTATTGAACCTTATCCGATTATAGATATCCAAATTATTCTCCATTAGGAAACAAATTTTCGGCTTTGTTAATTCCTATGACTGCTTTCATGATTTTACTAAAAAAAATTTGAACTTTAAATGTTCGGATAGAATTTAGCTGGGTTTTGATAATCATTTTCCTTTAAATTCTAATATGATTTTGTTGGGAATACCGTGGTTTTAAATTTTCTTTTTTATCAACATTAATGGATAATGCAGAACCAGAGCTGGATACTCGAGGGCTGACCAATTCTATGCATCTTATCCAGCTGGGACAGAGCTTCTCACCGACACTGAAGCGGTTAGTCGAAATTGAGCCCCGCTACTTGGCCCGGTTTCCGTCGAAGAATAACATAATTCGTATTTTTCGCATGGATTACATCAGCTAATCAATTTTGTTTGAAATTTAACTAATTGAGATTTTGACTTCTTGTAGTTGTATAAAGCTGCTCTTGGCAATTGTTTCGAACAAGAGGAATGGGGACCGATTGAATGGTGCATTATGGCAAAGCATTTTGAACGCCAAGGGAAGTCACCATATGCATATCATGCAGTAAGTTGATGAGATGTTTATTGATAACATACATGTACCATTTTTTCTATGTGCATCTTATGCTGAATTTTCTTTATGATAGGTGAGCAGATTTGGTTTTCTTGAAATTTTAAAAGCTTTGTTATGGTTATCTATCATGTTACAGCTTATAACAGTTGAAAGTTCTCTGTCATGAAGTTTTTATACAGATGTCTTGGACAGAGCCAACTTCAAACGTTAGCACATCCATACTTAATGAAATAAAAACGATGCATAATTGTGATTTGATGTGGCGATTTATTCAACAGTAACAAGAGAGAAGAAAGCGTCATTAATCAATGGCTTTGTTTTCTAAGTAGTTAATATAAGTTACTGCCATAACCACAAGCATTTCAGATTTAACCTCAACTTCCTACTGCATATCCTCCAATGAGTTTGAATTCATGGACATCAATTTGTTTTTTCAGTTCTATTCACTAATTTTGAGCATGCTATACAAATTGAAATATATTCATTAGTAGGTGAAAAGGTAAGAAACCTCAGACATTGGAATTGCGTCAAATAACACGAGATGAAGTGAGTATGATGACTGATAAGCATTCTATTTTCAATGCCTAATTGTCTTCTGGAGTAATTACTGTGCCCCCAATCCCCGAACACCCCGTAACAAACGAAAAAAAAAAGGTGAGGAAAAAGAAGCATTTGGTGGTTCTATAGAAACACGATGGAGTAGAAGTTGAAGTAACAAACTTTAACAAATGATGGGCCTCCATCCTATCTAAGGTTTTATAAAACTGATTTTAAGATTAATCATCTCCTCACATTCTGTGGTATCTAGAAAGGTATTTAGATAAGTCCAAACAATTTGGTCTAAACATTTTGAAAGGTTATGAAATGAATTTTGCAAGAATGTTGATTTTGGTTGTCTATGATCCATCGTAACAAGTGGTAAGATTTGATACCATAGAATCAATTTTGGAATGGATATCTATGATTTGTTATATTTCTTGGTTCTAGTTGATTCATTTATCTGATTTTATCTTCAACGAGGTCGATAGAATAGAAATGACTATTGAGCATGATTTGAGTCTTAGCTGATTTTGACAACTATAGTATTAAGATACAAAATTGCACCACGTCTTTATCTTATATGTTCGTGGCCTTCTACCGGATCGAGTTTAACTACTTTGGTTATGAATAATGTATTTGCCTCTTGTTTCTAGCCTTTTATGCTGTACTAATTCTTTAAACTGAAAGTTTTACCTACTGGTTGATACTTATCCAGCTATGGAACTAGTGATTTTCTAGTGCACAACCATGAAATTGGTGAATGCGATAATATGAAATTATATTAGATCCTTGATATAGTGTCTCTTCAACCAAATTGAGGATCAGCCTAGGGGAAAATTGGCATCAAAATTCCTACTTCAACCACTATAATCATTAGCTCTCATCTGTTTTCATTGTTTTGCTTGTTTTTGCTTTTCGACCAACTCTTCTAGGATGTGCCCATAAACAGAGATTGACTTGAATTTTTTTTATTTAAAGCATGTTTCAGAGTTATTTATAATCGGATTAAATTATAAATAGATAGAAATAACGGTGTGTAATTTGAAAGTACTTGCGAGTCCCACAAAATATGTGGATAAGAAGGGATTTGACCAATTATAAACAGATATGAGAAACCAGCGCCAACAAGGGCTTAGTTTTTTATATTTGTTCCTATGTTGACATAGGATCTACACTAATTAGGTGTTTAGATTAGTTGCACATCTCCATTATCTATCCTACTTGCAGAGTTTTGACGAGCACCTCAGGCTCTTAACCTGATTATTTTTGCTGGCTGTTAGCCTCTTGACCAACTCATGGAAGGATTGGTCTTAGAGTCGTGAGTGATTAACTTTCTAATTTGATTTGAACTTTTCTTAAGTTTTATGACACGAACTGCCTCATCTGTTATTAGATTATTACACTTTATGACATCTGGGGGGTTGGGTTCCGACGAGACTGCACGCCTTGTTGGTCTGTTCCGTTCCATCATTTTAACTTCACATAATTTGATACTATCTTGCAAATACAGTATCTTGTGCTTCATATTATATAGTCTTTTGGCTATAACGGATAATTTCCATCTCTCCCCAGCCGAGATCACCTTTTCTCTGCCATTGTTGCTGGACTATTAAATGAGTAACGACCTAAATAGATGAAGTGTTATCTACATCTTTTTTTAGTGCCTCGTGACGATAGTTTTATCTAACTCGGAATTCGTAATGTGAAACGTGGTTTTTTATAATAACTGGCTTTCTTTCTGCCCCTTCCGCAAATTTTATTGATGTTTCTGATTTATTATTATGTTAATGTTGCAGCAATACATGGCACACCTTGCTTCCCATGGACAACTTGATGGAAGTGGCTAGCTGAAGGATACTTATAGCTAACCGACACGAGCATGAGAGCTCAAACTACGTGGGCATGCTATAATCAAGACTGAAGTTGATAAATAGTTTCGAGACGTAACGGAACATTCATATTGAAATGTATCACGCTTCAGTTTTAGATATGCTCATATACCCTTTCACTGTTTAGTTGTGTTGCACAATGTCTGTAAGTTGGAAAAAAATAAAGAGACTTACTATTTTAGATCATGGTCTGAGGGTGGTTTAGCGCCTCTCTCTTTCAAGGTCAGAGGGAATTCGAATTCCCCAGGTAGTTGGGTACTACGAAATGAAGTTGATCGTAGATTATCAATAAGCCTAAAGTGAGTTTTTCTTGAGCTAAGGTAGAAAACTAGACCAGACACCCCATTCTTGTTTAGATAAGAACACTTTACATCTTTACCAAAATTGAGTGCCGAGTATGTATCAAAGAGAAGTGCCTAAACATGTGATTCACCCATGAGTTCGATCGTTTTCAACAAGAGCATGTATCAAGTATGACCAATAATCGGAGATACTACTCCAATGCATTTCACGCCCATAACTCTCATCGACTCAATTTATTACTCTTATTTATTATATCGAGGCTTCTTTGAAATTATTTGTAAGGTGCCAATTAAAATTTTGGGAGTGTTAAAGAATGTGGATCGTATTAGGTACATTGAGTCTCTGAATGAATATGGACGAGTCTCTTAAGTATTCTCACTCAATGCAATGTAAAGAACCCTTCGACCAATGTTTTCTCGGAGCGAGCCCTACCCGGAGCAGATAACTCTTCACTGTCAACGGAATTCAGATGGCAATCTGATATCCTACTTAGATCCCTATCCTCAACTCCATCATTTAAAAGTTTAAGCTTGTAACGTAGACGGTGTTCATGCCCCTCCATGCCGATCTCAGGTATCTAATTCCTTAATCATAACCATTTTTTAATGTGACAATCTTCCAATTCATACTCGTGAATAATAAATCTAACCGCAACAACATAATGAATATTACAAAAAGGAAATAAGCATCTAACATAATCAAATATCAACACAATCAGCATTGTTCACAAGGGTCGATAAAATCAATAATTTTAGCATATAAAAGCAGATAGATTTGACCTTGCATTCACCCCATTATCATCCTTCCAGGAAGCTGTCCTCCAGGAAATGCAGATAAGTGGGCAAAGCAAGTAGAATTCTTCTCCTAACACATTATATTCCCTGTTAGTAAATTATGGAATTTGAGGAATTAAAAACTTTAAATACGGAAAAATACAAACTCATCTTTCTTACTTATCACACCTACTCACCGCAGAGGAAGCAACAACGTACAAGGGGAATATTAATCAGGCTCTCTGTTATCAAAACCAAAATTTTTCTCTTCTTAGCAGGTTAGCCAAAAAGAACAAGATTTTACTTGCCTCAATCACATTATATGGCTTCTACTGACACAGATCATGTTAACTAACAAATAGACACACTTACCTTATAATCCCTGCTGTCTACACCAACACATGTAGAAGCACTAATGCTAGAACTTCTTAATAAGCATCGAGCACTGCAGCATGTCTTCCTACGTCCATTTTGCATCTCCTTTACACTGGTATTGGAAGCTTCTAATCCTTTCATATCTGGTAATTTGGAGGGGCTAAGAAGACAAGGGCGTGAAATAGCAACCACAGTTTGACTTATAGAATTAGTATTTTGCTCCGTGTCCTCATCGATGGGTGCATAGACTCGTTCCCTGTGTAATATGATGAGCCTATTAGGCTATTAATGTGATGAGAAACGCAAACCAAACGTTCGCCAGAAATACTTAAAACACCTTACCTGGGCAAGGAGGCATAACGCCTTCGCATTGGAGCTCTTTCAACTTTACCAGAATGCCCTTCAAGTTGGACAAATTGTTGCTTAAATTGATCGACTCCACTGAAATAAAATAAAGTCAAATGCTTTAGCAAGACATTAAGATGACAACACAACATAAAGTGAAATACATCATATTGAAACAAGCAAAGCTCATTGAATTGCCGAAGACTTCAACGTAAAAGAATAAGTGTAAACTGAAGCACAACATTAAAGTCGACAGCCATATATAATGTTAACTTCAACTCAAAATACTCACACTATACTACACTAGATATCTCAGTTAGTTTCTTCAAAAGTAAAATGACACGATAACTACCATCTTTCATGGATTTTTGGCAAAAACTTCAAGCTAAAAAAAAAAAAATTGAATTAGTGAAGATGCTTTTCTTGATTCATATGGATGTCATAGTATTGTCATTTTAAGTGGGGCATCGTGTAGCATTCATATAAAAGTTTCTTTAGTACTAAACACTTGGGTCAAAATATTACGTAAATACACCAAAGTGGGACAGTGAACATGATTGGACCCAATTATTCTTTTTCCTTTTTTTTTTCCTTCCGACGTGCAGAACGAAGTAATTAAATGCTTAAATTGCCGATTCTGCCTTGAGGAGTGATGCTGTCAGCTACCAACCCAACCAAATAGAGTCCAAATGCACAAAATCCGAAGAAATAAGCCAATCTCAATCATTTGACGTCATTTAAAGGTATATCAGTGGAAGTATACATAAAACAAAAATTTTAGTGATTTGGAGCTTGAATTGACAAAATATTCGAGAAATGATTAGTTATAAATGGATACCATACAAAAATGATACAAATATTTAAGTTATATTTGACGAAGCAACGTCCCAGAAATGTTTTGTATTAAAATAGAAGTTGAGAAGAATTCTTTTGATTGTCAAACCTTGGATACATAAAGTGAGTCTGATCCACGCCACGGAGGTATTCCTGGAGCATCTGGGGATGATACTCCAAGATCTGTTTGCTTTGTTAAGATACAACATAAGTAATAGCTAACACAGAGATATCATATTTGAATAAAGATCGCTTTGCAATGTTCATACCTCCCTGTAGATTAGCTCTCTTATATCATCTTTTGCCAAATTTCTCCTTTCAAACTCAAACTCAAATTTTGAAATTGGTTGAGTTGATGGTTCTTCTTCCACATTTACCAAACCATAAAAATATGGGTCTGCCAATGCCTGCAGTTAGAAATAATTCATAGTATTAGTAAACATGTCCTAAATATTGAAAATGGATTTGTCAACTAACGGAAATACAAAACAACATATTTGGTTTACTCAATCTCACCTCTTCAGCAGATGGACGATCTTTGGGATCAAATGCTATCAAACGTTCAAGTAAACGAAGAGCCAATGGATCAACATTTGGAAACTTTTGTGAGAGAGGAACAGGTGCTTTCTTTTTCATGCTACTTAAATATCTTCGGGCCTTCTCATTTCGAATCTGTAGGTAGAAAACAAGTCCAAATTGTGAAATAACAAGCATCTTTTATTCCACACTGTGAAATAATCCGCTGCTATTATCATGAGATACAAAATTTTAGAAAAATAATTCTGTGACCAGATTCTTTTCAAAGGTAAATTAAATAACTAAATAAAGAAGGAACTAACCCTAGAAAGGCATTCAGAAGAAGGTGAACCAAGAAGTTCAGTTATGAGATCCAATTGGTGGACCACATTTTTCCCAGGAAACAATGGTTTGCCCGTGAGAATTTCTGCAAATATACATCCTATGCTCCAGATATCAATAGCAGGAGTATACTGCAAAAGATACTAAATCTTAGAATATCCTTGAAAGGATTTCGATGGACAATTGTACAATCAAATGAATAAAATAGTTTATATAAAAATTTGATTCAAATATAGTTGAACCATTGCCATACTAGTGGAACTGAAATTGAGATTTTGTCACAGAGAGAGGTTTCTTGATTCTAGAATATTTGGAGATTATTTCAGGAATACATGTAAAAGGAGACTTGTCATTCCAAAACAAACCATTTGAGAAAAAGTTATTCATGTAATTCTGACAAAACAGCAGTCTCCAGCCAATAGGAATATTTTGAAGTTAAAATCTCAAATTTAAGAGAATGTGTATACAGAACCTCACCAACAGACTTTTTTACAATTCACAAATGTGCAACGTGTGACTATGATAATGTCAGAGATACACAATAAACTTTCCTAGACTATATACATACTCCTAACTGAAACAGCCGTGCACAAAAACTTGGAAGGATTGGAAAATGTGTAACTGAAAAATTATCTAATTAGCTAAGTAACATAATTTAAGTATCTAATGGAAGTAGCATTTAATGGGTTTGACATTAAAAGCTACACACTACTTGTCAAGTAACCAAACAAGCATATGATCAATACAAGACAACGCTGGCTTCACAATATAACGATCAACTAACTTATTGGGTAATTTTAAGATGAATTCTAACTATTACAAATCAAGCAAAACAAGAAAAAGTCAATATAGCAAGAGTTAAATTTAATCAGAAGCATCAAAATCACAATAAAGCTGACTTAACAGCATATATTATCGGCAATGGACAAGCTCCCACATCTATGTGAAAACTGTTACTGCACGATATAGTTACTTACTCTGGAGAAAAACGAACCACAAAGTTCAGGAGCACGGTACCATCGAGTTGCCACATAATCCTATAAATAATGGACATTATCAGTAAGTAATTAAATTTATAAGAAAAAATCAACAATAATGACCACTATTCAGAGATATGGCCCATCAGACCAAGAAAAAATAAACGAAACATGTAAAGCAGTTAAGAGTGCTTTATCCTTCCTAATGTCATTGCATAAATCACATACAGTCCAGAACACTGCAGATGGGGCATCGCCAAATGATGCACGAGCCAGTCCAAAATCACAGATCTTCAACTTGCAGTCTGCATTAGCAAGGATGTTTTTGGGTTTCAAATCCCGGTGGAACACATTTGCTGCAAGAAATTTCGAGATATCATTTAGCGTGTTAAAGAGCAAACAATGAGGAAATTATAAAAGCTGTAAAAGAAATTCCAACCTGAATGTATATATTTCAAAGCTCGAAGCAGCTGATACAGAAAAAATTGATGATGCCCAGGAGTAAGATCATCATTTGTCTTGAGTACATGATGAAGGTCTGTTTCCATCAATTCAAAAACCACATATATATCCTTGAATTCTCTCCGACATGAAGGCAACATTATATGCTTTATTTCTACAATATCTGGGTGCTTAAGTAACCGGAGGAGCTTGATTTCTCTAAGAATGCGAGTGGCTTCAGAAACATGCTCAAAAACACTGTCAATCTTTTTTATAGCTACCTTTTCTCCTGTGTGAGTATCAACTGCCGCGGCCACAACACCATAACTTCCCTTGCCAACAACCTCTTCGATTTCATACAAATTTGCTTCACCATATTCGGTAAAAAATTCGTTGAAAGGCATGTTCTAACATTTAAAACAGAAGTATCAGTATTTCCTCTTTAAGATACACACCCCTGTATGGGAGGAAAGAGAATAATCACAATAACATAAATAACCACCACAGTGTGAATTAAATAGAATGTTTAAATTTTAGAAAAGGGCAAAAAAATTGTTTAATGAGAAAGGACACACTAGAGGCTCCTTCACATATTATATTAGTTACCCCGCTATAAGGTTCTTATTCAGTTCATATAGGGAGTACTCATAAGATGTTGCGGTGCAGAATTAGTTATTACTGAACCTTGAAAACAAACTGCATGAGAATGTTTCATATCAGTAAATCCCTACAGTACAGAATTAGTTATTACAGAACCTTGAAACAAATGAATGATAATTTTTGTAAAAGAAAATAAATTATTATCAAGTAGTACAACCAAAAGTAAAACTAAATACCTTGACAGGATCAACTTTAAAAAATGGAAGCACTTTTCTCTATGGAATAATTCAGAACATTGTGCAAACATACTTAAAGGGTCAACTTATACGCACAAAGTAAATAACAATATCAGAGTTTGAATGACAATTATTGCCACAACTGTCCTAATGACAATGAACAATGTCAGATAGAAATATCTAGACAACATAAATCAAAGGAGAAGAGTACGCCCCCGTTTGGTCCCCATTATTTGAGATTATAATTTTTGGAATAGTTTTTTTTTGTTTTTTTAAATATGTGGTTAAAAAAGAAGAAAAAATTTTGGATTTAAGTATAATATTATTTTATTTGAGATGTGTGGTTGATAAGAAAGAGAGAAAATTGATTATAATTTTAATGAGGCCAAACGGGGGTTATATAGGGACCAAATTATCCTTCACGAGGTGAGTACTCAGATAAAATATAAGTCGAAACAGTCAATTGTATACTTCAGTTGGCAAAGTGAAGTCAATAAAGAACAGATGGTCAGAGAAGGGAACTAAGAAAGGACTAAAGGAGTACTAACATTATCAAAAAGCACTTTTGACTACATATCCAGGTCAAAGAATCCCCTCCCCAGATAAATACTAACCTAGTAACTTGAATATGTGACCAAGTCTTAACCAAGCAGGTAATGAGTACATAGTCAAACAAAAATATCTAGCAGTAGAGAATCTAAGCACACGCATCTACCAGAGACGTGCAGCGAGGGAGAATTAGGCAAAACAAATTCAATGTGGTTTACTTGTTTGTTTAAAATATCAGCAGAAAACTACATAACAAAATTTTATATGGACAACTATAACCGAAACTACGAAAAGAAGACAAATTCTGTACAGCATTAGGAATCAATTGTAGTAAATTGCAGGCATTGCTTAGATCAGGCTAAAAATTACCCAACTAGCATTAGTGAATTCAATTAAATTACAAATTCCAGTCTAGATTTGTCAGATTTATCAAGGATTTTCCTAATCAGTACTTGAATGAAGAATGACACCAACCGACCAAAATTCCCATGGTGCAGCAATGAAGCTAAAACTCAAGCAACTTATAAGGGAAATCTCATATAAATGACCTGAGATTGAAAAAGAAAAAACGAAAAAAAGAAAAAACCTACTACTCATATGCAAGAACACGAGATCTATGACTTGAACTGAACCCACAAAAATTCAACAATGCTATTATCAGAAAAATGAAACAAACTGACTGTACAATGTATTTCATCATCAGTTATGATAAATTTGAGATTAGAAAGCAGTAATTGAATAGTGAAATAACAAACCCAACCTGAATCATTCAAAAAAATTGCTGCGAAGGTGAAATGGCTCTAAGATATTCCTTTCCACAAGCAGGCAGGAGAATGGTAGCATAAATGAACGGATGGGAGCAGAAAATACTTATAACTCCATTAGATTACTGATTCAAAAGACCCCTATCAAAGTGCAAAAGGACAGAGTTGACAATAGATTCAATGACTTTTTTATGTCTAAAAAAGTTTAAACACTAGCTCAAATATGTCAACCTTCTACTTCTATGCACCCATTAATTATAAATGAACTAAAGATCTGATTTTTTTTTTCCTCAGAAAGATGCATGTATCAACGTCACAGCAGGTGCCTCAATTTTCTCAAATTAATGAAGTTCACAAAATAAAATAAAAGAAAGAAATAGGGAACAGAAAATAGATAAAATTTAGGGAACCCCATCTTCAACATGACGCAAAAAGACAAGAAAAACGTAATGAATGCATAACGCGGTGCTTTGAATTGTGAGCCTTATCTTATCATCAACTTGTCACCCCGCATTACTTAACATATATTATGCCCCACAAAGACCGACGAGAGATTGAGAGAGAGAGAGAGAGAGTTGACCTTTTATTACAGTAAAGTTAGGTAAGACTCGCTTTGATAGGCTTCAACTAGCTGTGATGTATCTGAATTTTGGTGCGTTTTCACTTTTCACCATTATCAGGATCGTGAACGATGATTTCTTTTGGGGTCGTCGGATAGGTTGAGTAATGCTATTTCTCAAAGTTCAGTAGCTAAAATGAAATCTTTTAACTTAGGGGAAATTACATAGACCTCCCTGTTTTCTGCTAATTTTAGAAACACTCCTTTCATTTTTCAAAAAATTACGCAAACCTCTCTTATTTTAAATTTTAAGCTTTTGTTTATTACTTATTATTTTTAAAATACATTTTTTTCTCTCATTTTCAATCATACATTTTTCAATAAAATAATATTAGACGCAAACCTAAAAAGTTTTCTATATTTTTAATCACACATTCTTCAACAAAATATTATTCCAAAATGCATTTTAGACAAAGGATGGGGCTCAAACAAATAAACATATCATTCTTAAAGTTTATGAAAAATTCAGACACACTCCCTAGCTTTTCAAAATTACACAAATTTATCTTATTATAAGTTTTGAATGACGTACCTCTATTGAGGTTTACGATAATTTCAAGGACATGCCTCTTTTTTTAAAAATTACACGAATTTCTCTTATTTCAAGTTTTTAATTAGGGTGTACATTTTGATCGGAACTTAACCTCTCGAATTGAAAATATCGTTTTCGGTTCAGTTCCCAAAATTACATGGAATCTAATGATTTCATTTAGAGAATATTCAAAATTTAAAGGGTTATTTTTATTCTTGAAAAACATAAACCGAACTACCTTACACATATTTTCATCATTAATAAAGCATATCTCCATTAAATATAAAAGATATTCTAAGAAGTTAGAAAAAATAAATAAAAATTCATTAGTTAAAGAAAGTTAATTTTGTATACAGTAGAAAACTTATGTAATTTCAATATTTCATTACTATATTTTAGTACTTTGGGCGTGTTCGGTGGGGATTAAAATTGAAAAACTAGTCGTTATTGTTGACTTTTATTAGACGAGTGAAACCCAATAACGGCCATATTTTCAATTAAAATTGAATTTTAATCCTCGGCACTTGTGTCAATTTTATATTAATTCTAATTATTATCATCATTCTCAATTTATATAGCCCGCAAAATAATATGTGGAAAGATCAATTCAAATAATTAATAATAAACATCTAAATGAATCTCATTCAAAATCGTGCATTAGACTTCCTTCTCATCTTATTTTTTGATTATCGTATATGTATAAGATTGAATTCATTCCATTTTTTAAAAAACATTATTAATCCTTAACTTTGAGAGGAATCCTTCATTAGTAGTCATGAAATATTAATTTTTTTCAATCTTTTCGATATTGGTTCCGTAGGTAGAAGTCAGAAAGATTGATAAACAGCGCAATCTGATTTAATTAATTTTTAAGGGCGGAGTCAAGAAAGGTAATTTATTTTTTTTACTAGGCTGATACATAGAAAAAAAAACTTCTAAAGAAAAAAATTATTTACATTAAAAGCTAAATGTGCTTGTGGGGGCAGTGTTGGGCTAGAGCTCTAGGCCTCTTCCTCGATTCTTTCTCAATAGTCATGGAATGATCTTCTTAGGTTATCATTTTGTCTTCGAATACTCCTATTACACTCCTAATCTTTAAAGGATGAGAAACAATTACATAACATCTATATGAAGAATTCAAATACTGTATATATCATTAATGCGATTCTTGAACTATCCGTAATAACGAACTTGCAAAAGTTTATTTATGTGTCATGGCAAAAATTTATTAGATAGTTGTTCAAATATAATATCATTTATCAATATTCTTCAATGTATATTTTATTTACTAGACCGTACTTATTCAAAATTTCAATTAAAATTGAGGTTTCACCTTTCTTAAGCCAACTCAGTTTATTCTATTACATTCATTTCTCTTTTCCCTTCTTGGGTGAACCAATCCCATTGCATGAATGGTCATGTCTCATCCTAACACGGGTTGCCCTCCCTAAATGGGTTTAATGGAATATGTCTAGAACACGAAAATGTAAGTTTATCTTGCTCGAACGGTAAATATCTTAAGATATGACACTTCACGGTCTAAACGACTCTAGTTTCACTACACTCCACGTCTCCACCGTTAGAAAAGAAAGAGAATACATGCATATAGACAAAGCTCAACTAGATTTTCAGTCCTAAAATGTCGAAGAGCTCCTTAATTTGCTCTATTTCATGGCAATTGATGGAACCGTTTAAAAAGATTAAAATACAAGAAATTATTCAAAATAAATCACAATCTACTATTATTTTTTACTCCTAAAGTTAGTGCTTGCATATTCATAATGCCAGTTCCATCACTTGTATTATGCAAAAATTTCTTCTTTCTAGGACATTGTCTTCCTTCTTCTATCACGTTTCTTAGCTCCCAGCTTGTCGGTTTCATTAACAAACGACTGTACTACTTCCTTCCCATCTGATTTTGAAAGATTAAATTGTTCAAATTCATGCTGCTTTCTATAACTACGGAGCTTTGCTCGCTGATCTGTGACTGCTGTCGAGTTATTGGGTGTCTTCAGTTGATCCTGAAGACTTTCCAGATTTGAAAGCTTTAACTGTGGCGAATGTTGATCCTTCGACTTGGAGAAAGCCAAACCTTTCATATAACATGTAGTTGCCGCTGTTTTAGGTTCAGGCAGCCTTCGGTTACGCAATGATTGACAAAACTCTTCGGAACTCACAAGTTCTAGCCCTTTAGGCCCAACAGCTCTGTCTTTTAGCGGTCCAAATATCAAAGGCTCCTGAATAATAGGATGCTCCATATTAGTCAGTTCCAAATTCACGCCTTCAGCAGAATCAAGCTTTTCTGAGCTACTGTCTAACAAGTGCATTTTTTCCGTCACAATGGAGCATTCTTGGGCACCAAAATCAACCATAGAGTAGATCGAGTTCTCAATTCTTATTGACTCAGAGTCAGGAGGCTTCTGACTTAAAAGTTCAGGGCAGTCATCTTTGGCTTCATCCGCTTCTTGCTGCTTCAGTTTTGCTGCCTCCGAATATTTGTTTTCATCAACTTCCATCCTACGGGGAGGCTCAACTATTATTGACTCGAAACCAGGAGGCTTTTGATTTGAAAGTTCGGGGCAGTTATCTTCGGCTTTGTCCCCTTCTTGCTGCTGAGGTTTTGTCGCCTCTAAATATTTGTTCTCATCAAATTCCATCCTACTGATAGGCTCAACACTTATTGACTCGAAACCCAGAGGCCTCTGGGTTGAAAGTTCAGGGCAGTTATCTTCAGCTTTGTCCCCTTCTTGCCGCTGGGGTTTCGCCTCCTCCAAATACTTGTATTCATCGAATTCCATCCTACTGGGAGGTTCAGTGGACAAAGGGCTAGGATCAAAACCATCATTACTTTCTCTAATGTTATATAATAGCAACCTCTCTCCCTTATCCTCTTCTTTTTGCTTCTCTTCCCCATACATTGTATTTTCACTTAAATGATTTTCTAGGCCTTCAGATTCCTTGTGGTCTTCAGTTACTTCATTTTGATCTCCTTTTCGCTGATTTTTTTGCTTAGACTCACGTCTCTTACATGGTTTGTATCGTTCCCTCTCCCAGTCCCAGTTCAGTTTCCATTTCTTCTTTCTTTTCTTTCTCTTATGACCTGTGCTTGACTTCAGACTTGGAATTGCCCCGCCAAGCAAATATCTCTGGCCACGAGTCACAACTTCCCCAGATTCACAAAGTTTTCTAAGATGATGTTTCAGCAATGTCGAATGAGCCCATGGCAAATTATTATATTCTTTTTCGATAAACTTCGATATGGAGTCCTCACTAGAACCCCATTTCTCATTCAACTCCTGAATCGCCCGTTCTATCATCTGAAAATAGAAGGAAAGACACTATAGTTAAAACCAAAAATTAAAAAACCACACCGACATCTGGAATTAACCAATCAGAAAATAATCATACAGGTTAGCTATATACAAAAGCAGTTCAATGCCAGTTGGGTTCCACAAAACCTGCAATTGACTCTCAAGACAACAGTTTGACAGTTAATGCACATTTTGAATAAATGGTACACAATACAATATTGGATGCGTTAAATAAGGTATCATTCTCTTGTATCACAGAGAGCTAAAAAACTCAGGAAAATTTGTCAAAGAGAAATTGCAGATACAATAATCTTCCAAGACTCTGCTATACATATTCTTTTCATATCTCTGCCAGAGACTACTTCCAATTCAAATACAGGTAAAAACTTCTTCGATGTATAACAACAAAATCGACACTGGCGAGTGACTAAGGTAAAATAGAAACGAAGATGACAAGCACTGGAAGAAACATTCGAAAAATTACGCGCCAAAGGTCTATGCTGCCACACAAGGTATAAAGCAAAAGGGAAAAAATATGAGGTAAAACTTCAGTTTACATACTTTCAACTAGAATGAGACAAATCAAAAAGATTAACCCGACATAAATTCAACCCACTTAATTTTGGGATACAACAAGTCAGGCGGGGGTTGCATCCCACCCATAACCAACCTAATTCCAACCTACCCAGATCTAACCCAAGCCGCCTAATTACCGCCTCATGATTCGAACTTAATGTCAGACACAAATAGCAAAGCGAAGGTGCCCAATTTACATTAAAATGATTGAGAAACAACGATACCAGAAATCTTCTACAACTGCAACCAGAACAAGATCCCAAATTGACTTTTAGTGATTTGTCTCTCCAATTTAATAGTCAAGTTAAAATCTTTCAACCAAATCCATACATTTTTCAGAAAAGAAATCATCAAGATAGAAATATATGAATACCCAAACAAAAAAACTCTACTGAGAAAGTTAATTTGACACACTAGCTCACACCATCAAGAAGATGGAAACATATAATACATGGATCAACATAGGACATGCATAATAAGCATGTAAAGATCCTACTTTTACAGAACAATTATTCTATAACTAATTAATTCAATACCATTTCTGCCAAAGACCCATAGAATCTAACTTAAGATTTCAAACATGCACATTTTGATATGCATGAAATAAAACTGACACTCAAACACACATGTGCACTAAAAGATTGTGCAAATTCTCATTATAGACAAATTTCGTCAACAAAAAACTTTTCACTCTACACCCATAAATCCTAATAAGAAAGTTTCAAACATTTATTGAAACATTGATCAATGTTACCCATATTATATCAAAGCAAACATAACATAAAAAATAAATCCAATCTCGTGCACACACATTTAAATGTGGTGTGAAAAAGAGAGCTACCATAAAACTTCTACAACTTCAATAGAACAAGATCCCCAGTTGATTTCTAGTGACTTGTCTCTGAAATTCAATTGTTAACTTAAAATCTTTGGACAAAAAACCATATATTTTTCAGTCACAAAATCACCAAGATAGAATCTTGTGGTTCTAGACCAAAAATTATAGTACATCAACATTCAAACTGTAAAATTCTACCAAGAAAGTTAGTCTTGAGACTCTTGACAGTACTTGACTCTCTGGCATCCCATCAAAAACAGAAATACATGGATCAACAAATGGACATGGAAAAACATGTCAGTATCCTAATTTTATATGTACGGAACACTAATTTTACAAGAAAATAAATTAATTACCATTTTTGCCAAAGACCCACAAAATCCAACTCACAATTTCAAACATGCAAGACCAGACATACATGAAATGTAAGCGGATACTCCTATATCTGTTGGGGAAAAACATGAGTTGTGTATGGATTTTATAATTAACACAATTAATTAACAGAAAAATGATAAATATATTCAACAATAATATATTAGAGAAAAATAAGTTAAGAGTTTATAAAGCAAGCCTTTCGAGAGAGCGTTGGAGAAGCTGCCCTGAAGTCGGATTAGTGTCCCCTTTTGCGTTACTAAGGGCTAAATACAGCTCATAGATAAAACCCTTGTGCTCATAATGGTTTCTCCGTCTACATGCACAACCACCATATTCTTTTTGCCCAAAAACATAATACATCACCTAATGGTAGACGTTTATCTTATAAATATATATCTATATTTCACTTGTGCATGTGAAGTAAAATACCAAGAGCAGTATATTCAATTCAATTCGACTATATATTTTTAGTCTATGTCCGACAGTGCCTTTATATGATGTAATAATCAGAACTCTCACAATACCAATATCAAGATTTGAAACATACATTGAGAGATCGATCAATCTTACACACACTATATCAAAGTAACTATAACAATAAGCAAATAAATGATTACCGCAGCATAAGGAGGGTGATCTGGGGTTTGGGACTGGGATAGCAATTGACTCGTGCGGTCTTGGAGAATGCTCTTGCGGGCTGCCGTTAATGGCGCATTTGGATAAGTTTCTGCGAGTTTCATTATAACTTCTTGGAACTTCGCCATGGCTTTCTGTTGAATATGTTTTGAGGGATTTTGAAGGTTATTCATTTTAGAGATACGGACTAATTATATCGTGTTTTTCAATAAGAAGTTCAAGATTTCAATAACTGCGCATAAAGTTTAAAATATATTTATTCATCAGAGAATTAGCAAATTTATTTTTTAACATGCGTTTGATTGTCAATATTTTTTATGAAAAATGTGTGTTTTTCCCTTAATTTACTACTTTTGTGATGTTTAATTGATAATTTTTTCGGACGAAAAATATTTTTCTATTTTTGATCACGTGATTATATTTTTCTTGAGAACAATGAAAATATTTTCTTTAAGAAAATGTGATTTTTATTTTCCAGATAATTCATTCTCTTTTTCTCTGTCTCATCTATACCCTCTATCATCTATCCATCAATAAAAAATAAAAAAGTATAATATTTTTGAGGTTGAAAACTAAATCAATAAAATACTTTTAATTAATAATCCTCGTACAAATAATTTCTAGGCAATTGAATTGACTAAAATTTATTTTATTTTCTTACAAATTTCATGCTCGCAATCAAACGTGCCCTTAGAGTTCGTTTGATTGTCAATATTTTTCCATGAAAAATATATTTTTTCCACTCAATTGTCTACTTTGTGCTATTTGATTAACAATATTTTTCAACTTTTGGTCACGTGGAGAGCTGATTTTTATTTTCCAAATAGTTCACTCTCTCTTTCTCTCCCAGAATCTATCAAATCTCTCACGTCTACCCACCAATAAAAATGGAACATGTATAATATTTTCTTCGTTGAAAACTAAAGTAATCAAATACATTTAATTAATAATTTTCATACAAATAATTTCTAAACAATTGAATTACCTAAAATTTATTTTCTTTTCAGGCAAATTTCATGCTCGCAATCAAATAAAAGTTACTAGAAATTTAAAAATAATAATGAAGTGTGTTATTTGTTATTTCAATTTTGCGCAACACTCAAAACTTATTTAATTTGGTATTTTGGGAAATGCATTTTTTAGATAAAGATTAAACTTATAAGATATTATAAAATTCAAATTTTTATTTTTTAACGTTTTGAGTAATTAAAAATATGGGAAATAAGCTTTTAAATAAAATTATTCTAAAAATAAAAATAAAAAAATTTTGAAAAAATAGAATCTAATATAAAATTCTAAAAAGAATAAAAAAATTGAAAAATAAAATCCTAAATTCTTAAAAAATAAAAATTCTACGAAAAATAAAATTCTAAAAAAATTTAGAAAAATAAAATAGTTCAAGCTCTTATTTATTATTTAAATAAAAGTTCTAAAATAATATATTTGAACAACACAGATAAAAAAATTTAGTCCATGTCATATCTTTTCTTTTAAAAATTTTCAATGTTTATCAAATTAATTTATTATTTATTTTTATTTTACTTTTGTCATGAGAAAAAATATTGTGAGATTCATCAACTTTAAAATGTATATATTACTTGATAACATATTAAAATAAAATTGTTCTACTTTGCGTCTTTACCGAATAATCAAATTTCATGAAATAAAATATTTTAAAATATTTCTCAAATTCCAAATCATAAATGTTTTTAAATTTTTAGTTTCGAGAAATAGTTTTTCAAAATGATAAAACTAAACATTTTTTAGTCAAGGGTTAATTTCAAAGACGGTCACTTAAGTTACCCGAAAATCACAAAACGGTCACTGAAGTTTAAATTTCTTTCACAAACGGTCACTGGATTTTCAGATTTTTTGGACAAGTTTTGCGGCGATTTTTCAGCAACTTCCGACCACCAAGACCGCCGGATTTGGATATCGTTGGAAAGCCCACAATGTTCTCTTTAATTACCACCAAAAATCTCCCCATAACTCCGAGGGATTGGGTCGAAATATACCCACGAAGTCGGCTACCGAAAAATTTGAAAATCTACCCAAATTTTCAGATTTTTTGAACGAGTTTGCGACAATTTTCCGGATTAAGTCCTAAAGTATAGTATTGTAACAACATTTGCTTTTGTCAAATAAAAGTTAGAAAAAATAGATTAAGTCGTATAGTATAGTATTCGTGAAAAAGATATCCGGATTCAAGGGTCCACTATACTATTTGTTACAATATCGTACACTTGTGATATAAAAAACGCAATAAGTTTTTGACACTGTTCCCGGTGACTATTTACTTTTAGTCTTAGTTTATTTTATCTTTAATTGTTATTTGATTTGAATTTATTTTTCTTGCTTAAAAAAAAGTGTTCGTTGTATGCTTTGTACCCAAGGCGACGATCTTGAACCGTTTGAATCGAAAATAGAACATACTTTCAGACGAAGACGCAAGGAATACAAACAAAAACAACAACATCAAATGGCGACGGTCAAAATATTCATATTCCTATTCAGCCAATTGGACAAGTGGCTGAAAGAGTAGCGGTACTATCGGATTAGTAGCAGGAGAGAGGGGAAATAAATGAAGGAGACTTGCCCGTTTCAATGTTCTTGACGCCAATAGTTGCGCCTACGCGTTCCAGTATTGTGTATCCAGATTTCGGGATAAATAATTTTCAAATAAGGGCAGAGTGGACCAATTTGATGAGTAATACTCTCCAATTCTATGAGCTACCTCATGAAAATTCGAACACACATATCTCAAAATTTCTCAGAAATTATCAGAACTTCCATACTTCTAAGGTTAAAGAAGACGTCATTAAGTTGCGATTATTTCCATATACACTGAGTGATGCTGCATTGGAGTGGTTAGACGCCGAACCTCATGGAAGCATTACTATAGGGGAAGAACTGATCAGAAAATTCTGAAACAAATTCTTCCCACCGACAAAAGTAACTAAAATCAGATTGAAAATTCAAACTTTCCAACAAAAAGATGGAGAGAGCTATCACAATGCATGGAACAGATTCAAAGAGCTGATGCGAAAGTGTCCAAATCATGGAATCACAATAGGTAATCCAGTGCAGTATTTCTACACCGGACTCTCACCACTGTCAAAATCTCAGGTAGATTCCTCTGCAGGTGGATCGATCATAGGAAAATCAGTACAATAACCCTTTGATTTATTTGAGTTAATTGTCACTACACATTTAATGTTTTCATGAGTGGTACCACCTAGAATATCTGGAATGTATGAATTAGATAGCACAACATTTACGAACGCATAGATAGCAGATTTGACAAAGCAGGTAGAGCTATTGGTGAAATCACAAACAAGAGGAGCATATGTAGTGATGGGTGGTCCATCATGTGAAAACTGTGGAGCTAACCATTTGACGAAAAATTGTATGTCTATGCGCTTTTGGAGGAACAAGTCAATTTCATTCAAAATGAGTCCTTCAATTTCAACCCATATTCACAAACATATAACCCACGATGGAGACAACACTTGAATTTCAGATGGTTCGATAATCGACAAGGAAATTGCTCAAATAATGCTCAGCAGGAGCACAAACCAAGTTTGAGAGAGACGTTTCATCAGTATGTACAGAAAACAGACAAAATATTTCAACAGATTGATTCTAATTTTAAAAATTGGCTAGCATTTATCAAGAAGTTGGAGACAAAGATTGGTCAATAGCTCAAAAATTTATAGAACGTCCACAGGGATCATTACCAAGCAATACAATGACAAATTCTAAAGAGCCAGTGATGTCAATAAGAGTAGTGGAAAACGATCCACCTAGGACTCCTGTAAAAGTTAAAGCATATGTACCTCCAGTTTCATTCCCCCAAAGACTTTGAAAGAAGTCAATGGAGGAAAATATTCATATTATGATACAATTACCAAAGATTACCGTGAAACAACCAGAAAGAAAAGAGTATCAGGAAGATGTTGATGAAACTATAATGGAGGAAAAATCCGCACTCGCCTCAATTGAGAATGAAGAAATTACAGAAGCATCCACTGTCAAGGCACCAAGTCCAGTTAAAGCTTATGTGCCTTCCATTCCTTTTCCTCAAAGGTTCAAGGAGAACAAACATGACACAAAATTTGAAAATTTTCTTGATGTTCTCAAAAAGCTCAAGATCAATATTTTGTTGATTGATGCGATATTACAAATTTCAAGCTAAACAAAATTTTTGAAAGGGATATCGACAAAGAAAAGAAAACTTCCAGAGTTTGAAATTGTGGCATTAATGGAGAAAAGTAGTGCAAAACAAATTGCCTCCCAAGTTGAAAGATCCAGGGAGTTTTACTTTATCTATTTCGATTGGAAATTCTTGTGCTATTAATGCATTGTGTGACACGGGTGCTAGTATAAATCTAATGTCATATTCTATTTATAGAAAATTGGGATTGGGTGAAGTCAAATCAACAACAATAAAGCTACAACCAGTTGATACAACAATTTCAAAGTCACGTGACAAAGTTGAAGATATGCTCATAAAAGCAGAAAATTTAATATTTTTGATGGACTTCATTGTGTTGGACATACCAGAAGATCGAGACATTCCAATCATATTGGGTTGGCCATTTTTAGTAACGGATCGAACTCTAATTGACATGGAGAAGAATGAGCTAATATCGATGGTGGAGGACAAGTAAGAGATATTTAATATTTATACTCCACTTGAGAAACCTTCTAACAACTATAATTGCTGTAGAATTGACGAAAAAGAGCCACTTGATCAACGAAGATATCAGAATAGAAAATCAAATTTTAGTGGATTTTTTGGTAGAGATGAAAATGGAAATATCAAAATATGGAGAGCAAAAAAAAGGGTGCATGAATGAGAATTGCACAAAATGCAATGATGACATAAATGGTTCGAGCCACATGAAAGTCAAGCTAATAAATTTAAAGAAGCGCTTCTTGGAAGGCAACCCAAACTTTTTTTTCCTTTTTATTTATTAGTTAAAATTTATTTGTGACTCCTTATCCATATCCTCTTTTCCCTTATATATTCGATATGTTAGTTGGTGTATTAGACACTAAAGTTAAGTAACATTTGTTCCAATTATTTGATTTTAATGCTTTATTTGATTTTTCAAGAACATGTCGTCGCAGAACATTTAAACCAATATTGATCAAGGAACCAACATGAGCACTAAGAAAGCTGGCAATTGAATTACAAGTCATATCAGGGGAATCTTTTTTTCATTTTCTTTCTCACCCCTTTATATGCAGATTTAGGATTAAAAACATTGAGGACAGTGTCTAGTTTAACTTTGGGAGTAGAAAACATGAGTTTTCATTTTTTATGTGCTTTTGTGTGCTAGTATAATTTCAGTAAAAAAAATTAAAATAAAAAGAGTAAAACAATAAAATATAATAAAAATATTTTCTTTTTGTGCGCTTGTATGAGTTAGTTGGCCTGACTGACAATGATGAATATATTAAATCATGAATTGATCTATGAATGGTGAATAAGTTGCATGCTTAGATTAATTTTTGATTTTTCAGGTCAAATTTGATATATATTGAGCACATGAATTAAGTTAAGCATTGTATATGAATGAGTTGATTTCATAATTGAATAAGTTGAAATAATGAACCATAGATGTTAAATCCAAAACCATTAAATTTTACATTATTGGACCAAATTTAGAATAGTTTGGGGAGATTTCACTGTTGTAGGAAGATGTTGAGATAAATAGAAATTTCATGTGTGAAATTAAAAATCTTATGTGGATTGTTTAAGGTCAATAGAATGCAATTAGATAAAAATCTCAAGTTAGATGCCATTTTACTTGTCTTGGTGTTAAATGATGGATATTGCACTAATTAATGCATAAAAAATATTTTATTAGAAAATTTCTTTTTGTAGCTTTTATGACTCGAGCAATTAAATTTGCAGGGGTCTTTAAAATCTGGTGTCATATGGTATCTGACTTGGGAGTTATCGGCTGATAACTTGTTACATGGGTCATTTAGAAAGTTTAAGGGAGAGAACGCTTCAAATAAAGAAAAAATTATTCTATTAAAAAAAAAAATAGAAAAAGCAAGTGCATGAAACAGAAGACGCACAAAATGCCTTAGTTAAGTCTTAAACACTTGTTTAAGAAAATTAGACTTTTGATAAGAGATTGTTAGCCTAATTAAGTCCTAGAGATTGAAACAATCAAACTTAATAGAGAATCCTTATTTATTGAAATATTGAAGTACAATTGGTGAAATTTTGTCAAATTAGAGAAGTGAGGATAGTAAAAAAAAAAAATCAAACATTAGTTCATACACTGGAAAATAGTGAAAATAATAAGTTTGAGGGTGTGTGAATTTTACAAGTGATGAATTAAGTTCATTATCTCTATTTTCATTGCTTAAGTCTGGTATCAGTGTCAAGACTCACTTTTAGAAATGACTAGTGGCGCACGTGCGATGCACGTGTTAAAGTTTAGTTGGCTACCTAATAGCGTGCAGTGATTTCTAGTTATTTTACACAAACTTGGGACCAGATCTTCGTTTCAAGATTGCACTATAAGTAATGTAATGTTTGTAAGGGAATAAACATCGACATTTATCAAGTCACATAAAAAAAAAGTCCCCCGTATAAAATAAATTTCTATATACTAATAGTGGATAACCGAAACATTAATTCAAGTGTTGAAAACTATCAAAAAGGTAAGGCTTGGCTCTTTTGTAGCCTCGATAAAAACTTGAAGAAGAAAATTGTAATATATGAATACAATCATTTTAAAGTACAGTACAAATGAATCGGCGTAAGAGAGAGAACTAAGTTGATCTTTGACCACAACATCACCAACTCCAATATTACAATTGCCCGGAAGTTACAAGAAATAGAAACTTCCAACATAGTAAATAATCTTTGGTTTATCTCATTTGATAATATCACCACCCTAGTGCACATAAAAAAGATACCAAAAATGCTAAATTACTACATAAGCACACGGTAAACACTAAATAATCCCACTCATACGCCGCATTTCCACAAGCGAGATGAAGAATTGCATCTCGCCATTCACATATAACTGAATTAAAATAGTCTTTATCTGATGATTAGAACAAGAAATTATAAAACAACTTGTTAGGAGCAATTTATCCGCATCATGCTTAACTATTTTGATCATAAGTTAACTTATCAAAGAACTTAAAAAATAAAAGATCAATAAGATAATCATATCTTAATACGTACCTAGCCGTTCACTTTTTAAAGATGAATAATCAGGCTTGCTTCTCGCTGTTCCAACGTCTGATTGCTCTTTGTGCTATAATGATTGGCCACATTTTTTTGCGCATATCATAGTGCTCTCATCCTCCAAAAATTGTTCATCCCCTAACAACAATAAAATACACTCATCAATTCATAATAGACAAACTTCAACCTCAGCCTCAACCCAATATGAAGAATAAGGAGAATTTAACAATTGAACTATAGAATTCCTATTATTTAAGCCCAATGTTTAACCACCAATACTATAAACTAAAATAAAATAAAAAAGTATTGTTTTCGTTTTTCCTAGATTTAATTTTACTCTCAACGGTCCAAAGTTTTCTTAAACATTTTCTTCATACCTTGTTTCTTCTTCAGCTTATCAATCTGCCAATTAAAGAAAAAGAAAAAAAAGTAAAACATGAAAGTTAAGCTTTATTTTATAAATATTGGAAAATGAGTACATCTTGTAGTAAGGTCCATTTATTTCTCTTGTTGTCGCTTTCTCTATTGTTTGTAATTTGCTTCCCTGCAATTTCATCTTCTTCCCCTTCCAAGATTAAAATAAATCAATTCATAAATACAACTACAATGAAAAAAATTAATTTCTTCAAAAATAAGTCCATTTGTTTCTCTTGTTGTCGATTTCTCTATTGTTTGTAATTTGCTTCCCTGCAATTTCATCTTCTTCCCCTTCCAAGATAAAAAAAAACCTATAAACTATTATATTTTATATTTTCAACATTCGTATAGATGAAATCTTACATAAATAGGCAGTGGCCATAGTCCCTTTCCTAGTTCGTTTTTGTACTGTATAGGAAAGTTGAGATTTTTGTTACATATAACCATTAGACCATATGGACGATGGAGGCCCTTGACTATACGGTGGATAAGGAATGAGGCTAACTCATTTGCCAAGGTTGCATAAAAAATGTGCACCAAGGGAAGAAACAGAACCAAATTGAACGTGATGTCACTCTACATCTCTTACTCTTAATTTAGCAGGCATCAAAGGATTGAACGTGATGTCACTCTACATCTCTTACTCTTAATTTAGCAGGCATCAAAGGAAACACTTTTAATGATTTGTTGGGAACTTGCTTGCCTACTGCTACCCATTGTGGATAAAAATAACAAATCCTTTTTCACCAACAAACATGAAGCATGTAAAATAAAATAAACCCCCGCTAACCCTTCTGCTTGTAGTAAAACTAAAAGTCATAAGATGGAAAGCCTAAATGCAAGCTGAGATGCCAGGAAAACTATGCAAGTGTGTCAAAGTTACTTCACCCACATATTAGTGTTATCTCATCTCTCTTAAAAAGCAAGTAATGAAACGCCTAGAGTTGATTGACCAAATTATTTCTACAAACTGATTTGAACGTATATTTTCTTTTGAATAAGACTGAGGACCTTACACTGCACAAGGACATTGTTGTCTTTCATAGTTTCACAAACTATATTTCCATTTTTATCTTCAACGATCAGATCTTCTGGCTTTGCCATACGACATATCATCAGCAATTTCAACTTGACATTGGATCAGCATACAGTTTCCGTCTCTGAATGATTTGTGAACGAGGTCCATGTACCACGCCAGATAGGATAGACACCTGCTTATATAAAAAAAACTGGCATCAGTGTTTGCTTAATAACCTCAATAGTCTTGAGGTGGGGGATTTAATTTTTATTAAATACTTCCACCGTTCTATCTGGTTCTGCTTGGTAAGGAGGATAGAGACAAATTTCTGCACCTCTACAAAAAGTTGGACTGTAGTTAACATCCATTTTCTTTCAAACAACATTCCAATTACATGTTTGATCTAACCCACATCTACAGAATATGCAATAAGACCTACCTAAGCTCCAGAAGCTATCATCAACCTTTATAGGCTGGAAGAGTTCACCCTGCAAACAAACAAACACAAGTATTTGACTTCTTATGCTATGAGAACAGTATGAGACGATACAGAGGACAGCATGATACACTTACGTCAATAACTGGAGGATGACCTTTGAGCCCAACTTGAAGATAATTCTTCTTAAATCCACACACAATATGAATAATCCTGAAGGCATCAAAGAATAGCATCATGTCCACTACACAATTTACCAAAAAGAAAAGGCTGTAAATTATTCTCGAGGGACTTCAACAAAATAAACATTTTGATTCAAATCATTGTGATTTGAATTCAATATTATATAAGTTCCCTATATAAATTGGACATGGATACACACAAATGAATTCAATATTATACGAAAGGTTCAAAGGAATGTTGACACACATACAGACACATAATTTGCATTTGTCCATAGTATTAGTGTACAGATCGCGTGGTTTCTCCCAAACAGCCGCATACACCTTAATATCATCATTGACATCCTTTATGCCGATAATCCATCTTGTTCGCAATAATGGAGAATGAGATCGAGAATTGGGATTGATTTAGGAAAAAGATTTGAGTTTTGAAATCTTATAATAGAGACAGAGAAAAAGATAGGGGAAAACCGTGTAGAATTAAGGATTCTTCTGGAATCGTAGCTGCAGTGAGAAAGACATCGTCTTGGTTGACGATTCCTCGCCATGTGTGTAAACTGTAAAGTAAACATGAAGTTTCTATTAGAATTATGGTTCGTTACACAATTAGTATATTATACATAAACACCAACCTACCCATATATATAAACAAGAATGCCCCAGCCTCAAAAATTAAAAAAATCAAAACCCAAAAATTTATCTAACTCTCGAAACTGAAAAAAAACATAGAAGATGCCAAAACACATAAACTGAAAAGAAATAAACCCCAAACCAAACAAAGCATAAAAAACTTACATCCATCTTCAAGATTCTCTTCTCGGAACTGTTTGGGGATGTGGTCCAGTGAAAGGTGGTAGCTTCTAGAGGAGGGAGGTCGCCGCCGGGGATAGGAATATCATCAAGTAATGTATAATAAAAGAACCAGTTGGAAGATTTCCCATTTTCTGACCTACAAAATCCTGGCAGCTAATGCTAAATCGACGGAGGTAGTGTACTTTGCATATAAAGAGGACGCCGCCCTTGCACAGAGCCATAGCAATAACATTCATCGTTACACTATGCTATGCAGGGCCTTACACTCATCTCTTCATGTAGACTTTTCAGCAAATATGATGCACCAATTGCCTTAGCCTTGTAAACAGCTCATCTAATAAAACGTAAAATCTTTACTCAAGAGTCCCTTTTGTTTTGTGTGTTTAAATGCAACATCTTACTAATCAAAATTCCAGGATGGAAATAAACTATCAAGAGCCAGTAATAAAACTTTATAAGATAAAAATAAACAAGTTGGTTACCACGAATATGAACACTAATATAATACAACCATGTAGTTACGTTTTTAGAGCACAAAACAATGTTGCCCCAGATCAACAACCAGCACGGTAAAAAAGAGAATTTTAGAGAATAACAGTTCCCATCAACTTATTAAACATCAGAAAACATGTAGCAGTAGTACTGCAGTAGGAATGCTTATCGTTGACGATATCAATATGCACTGGAGCTTTGAGTCTGGCAGTTTCAACGTGCTTCATATTGGACAACTGCAAAACACAATATAAATTATAGTAAAAGTTAGTTGCCAAAGAGAAATTATGTGCATAAATATAAACAAGGGAATCTTCGGTCAGCTTCAATCTCAACAAGGTAAATTTGCATTTTAGAAGGGCAACTATAATTGCCTACATGGTGAAAAGAATCAAGACTGATAGAAGAATTTAGAAGTACCCATATTAAATGCAATATAATAATGTAAACCCTGTTCTGAAACCAATTATCCCTTATAATTACAGCTGTGTAATGCAAGAGACAAGCTTAACACAGGTTAAAACTGGAAAGATATGATATTTAAGCCGTATAAAGCACAGTTCTCTTTTAATAATTTCAACAATTTTCAAGCAGGCCCAAAGTTTTGTCATGAGTGATATCTTATTAATCGTTCTCTACCATGAATGTCCACAAATGAGAATTTTCAAGAAAAATTGTCATAAATTTTCTACGAATTTGGAAGTGTTATTGAACTCATTATTAGAATAATGAAACTATCTTTCCAGAGAAGTAATCTTTGAAATATAGATTTAAAGGAAAAAAAATCTTCTCTCCATTTTCATGGAAAGAAATGGAGCTTTAGACCACCAAACCTAGAGAACTTTTCTAGCCAAGCAAAACCGGGAAATTTTAACTTTACCATCATAATATCAATACCAAAATTTTCAAAATCTCTAACATGAAAACCGCCTGAAGAATTGTGCCTTCAACAGCTATCCCAGGAAAAAAAAAAAGAACTTCCTTCCAAAACTATACGACCACCACCTAGTAGTAAAGTACATTAAAATATATGGGCAACAATAAAAAATTAATCACTTAACCAAGGGCTTGGCTTACTTTGTTTCAAAGAGCACTTCTGATATTACTCTCACCCCACCCAACCCCACCCAACCCCACCATAGAATTACAAAGAAACAAAACCAAAAATATGTAATCGACTAACCTAGTGGTTAATCAATCATAACAAACTATAAAATAACAAATAACACCGAGACACTTAGGGCTTAAGGTCTCGTAATGAAAAAAAAAATAGCGTTTTTGAAAATATTGCATACCTGTACCAGCAGAGGCAGATCTGGAGAAGAAATGAATGTTTCTATTATTGCTAAAGAAGAAGGGAAGAACCGAAGAAGAAGAAAGGAGAATGAAGAGGTATGGTTGGTTGAGTGTAATAATGGAGAGAGAGGGGAGTGGCGACCCGAGGCCGGAGCTGAGGTCGAGCGCTCGAAGCTTGCTACCGGCGGAGAGGCTGTGCGTGAAGATGGCGATTGCTATTGTGAGAAGACGATTTCGGTAGATAGGGTTTCTTCGTCGTCGCGGAAGCAGACAGCTCGTGTTGGGGTAAATAGGGTTTTTAATTTTTTTTGGGGGGCCAAAACGACGTCGTTTCAGCGGACGGATTTTTTTTTTTTTGGACCAAAACGACGTCGTTTCAGCGGACGAAATTGGGAATAGTGTTTTCAAAAGTGGCTCTTTTATTGTATAGGGA